GTCGTCGAAAAGAAGTAAAATCAGAAATAGTGCGGTAATGGTCAGGGAGAGAATTCCAAGATGTTGCTGCCAAGTAACTAAAGGAATTGATACCATAAGAAGTGGTCGATGGTTTGGGCAAACAGAGCATATTATGTCCTCTTAAAAAATAGGTGCTAGAGCGTAAACGAAACATATCTTTTAAATATCTTGGATAATCAGAAAAATGAAGACATTTAAAAATAGTGAGAATCATGTTTTGTAAACGCTTGTCCTTAAGGTTTGCAGTTCCTGCCTTTTTAAGTAAATTATTGTACTCAGAGTTAAAATCCTTGAAAATAAATCGAAGAATACGTTTGTTTAAAAGGTCCAGTTTATCAGAATCTTGTTTACTAGAGAAATGCCACACCATAGAACAATAATAAAAGTGAGGAAGTATAAATGCCTTATAAAGACGGAGCATGGTTTCAGTAGACATCAGTTTGCCAAACCTTGACATAACGCTAAACTGATTGTTTACCTTTTTACATATAGAGGACACATGTTGCTTAAACGTAAGATCTTTATCAATTGTAACGCCGAAAAGTTCCACTGAGTCATTTACTGAGAAATTAAACTGATGGTCAGTTTTTCCTAGTATCATCCCTTGGTGTTTGCTGGGATTTGCTATCATTCCATTGATCTCGTACCAGGCATTTGCTGAGCTAACCTCACGCGAGATACGCCTTTCCAAAGATACCGGATCCGTATCGGCGGTGTAGAGTTGACCATCATCTGCATACATATTTAATTGTACAGTTTTGATTTGTAGGAATAAATCATTTATGAAAATATTAAAAAACATTGGACCAAGAACACTGCCTTGAGGTACCCCTCGCATGACTTCTTGCCAATCAGAACTTGTATCACCTACTTTCACCCGCTGCATCCTACCTTGTAAGTAATCTTTAAGAAGCATACAACTTCTACTGTTAACACCATAGGCCTTCAGCTTGGCCAGCAAGAGTCCATGCGGTATCGTGTCGAAAGCCTTAGATAAATCCATTGATATCACTGCAACAATTTGTTTATTATCCAGACTACGCTTCCAATCTTCTGTTAACCTCATTAGCGAGGTTTCACAGCTATAGTGTCTCCTATAAGCTGAGATGTAGTCAGACAATATTTCAGAATAGAACTGGTCTAGTTGAGAAGCAAGAAGTTTCTCAAAAACATTATTTAGGGCCGGTAAAACAGTAACGGGTCGATAATTCTCTTTACTCAATTCATCATTTTTCTTGAAAAGAGGTGTAACCTGCCCCATTTTCCATCGAGAAGGATATTTGCATTGTTTGATCGATTCATTCATTAACTCTGCTAGTGGACCAGATATCGCAGAAGCGGATTCCTTAAGAAGCCGCGGAGTTATGGTGTCGTGGCCGCAGGCCTTGCGTGCGTTGATGTTTGATAGTAGTTTTTCAACCTGGGTCTTATTGGTGTATTTAAAATTAAAATTATGTGTGGCGTTCTTTCTTCTGTTTTCCTCTGCAATTGCTCGAATGCTGGGGTGTGCACTGAATTCATTTCCAAAGTTATTTTCTTTAATGTCCTGTACATCATCAACGATGTGAACAAAATAGTTGTTGAACAATTCAGCTAGTTCTTTCTTATCCGTAATAACCACATCGTTTTCAATTAGTGTGATGTCATTGGCTTGTTTACTGGACCTCGAATGCATAAAAGGACGATAAGCCTCCCAAAATGCACGTGGATTGTCGGTCTCTGACTTGTTTTTAAAATGATCTTTAATCGCTTTGCGCCTAATTGACGTGCATTTGTTTCTTTGTTTCTTATATTCGGCGTAATTAGCGTCGGTCCTCTGATGCGTGAACTTCTTCCAAAGTTTGTTGCGGTGACGAATGGCTTTACGCCATTGTTCGTTCATGAAAGGAATTTGATTGCCCCTTATGTGTGCTTGCTTTTGTGGTGCGTGCTCGTTTAGAATGTCAAGGTACAGTGACTCAAACACGTATTGTTTATCGTCAATATCGTCAAACACCTCCATAACGTGGAAAGGGACATTATGTAAATCACGTAAAAATAAATCCTGGTCAAAATTCTTTAGACTTCTCAGTTGTATTTTGCGAGATCGCAATCGCGGAGCTGTGGTTCTCAAAATAGTATATATTAGAGAATGATCGCTGATATGAGCATCCACTACGCCCGATGAAAATATTCTTCTTGTGTTGTTTGTTAAAATCAAGTCGAGTAAAGTTGACGATGTCTTGCCTATACGAGTGGGTAATTTAATCAAATTTTTGAGACCGTATATTTCCAGTAAATCTTTTAAGTGACCACTGTCCTTAGGATCCAACAGATTACTATTGAAGTCTCCAACGCAGATGACATCGTTTGGAAAAGTCGTAACAACTTCAAATAACCTGCTCAGTTCAAATTTCCACTGAGATGTTGGAATAGATGGAGGCCTGTAAATCGCCATAACAGTGAGCCAAGATTTTGCTACCTTCACTTTCAGTATGATGTGTTCAGTCCTGAAGTTTGACGTATCGATACCATTTTGGTCTCCAAGCTTTTTTGTCACAGTGAAACACAGATCACTTCGTACGAATATCATAACCCCACCGCCATAAATATTTCTATCCGATCGGCACATACGGAAACCCTGAATGGCAAACTGGCTGTCAGGATATGTTTTATCCAGCTTTGTTTCAGAGATGGCCAAGATGTCGAACCTTCCGCGCATAAGCCAGTTTTTGATCTCGTGGAATTTAAAGCCGGCTATGCTGTTGGCATTGATATGACCGATCTTAACGTTTCTCCGATGCGTTTTAACTAAAGTGTCAAAACTCATCCAAGTGTTGTTGTGGTCTTCGTTCTCACTCAGAGTCTGCTCTGTGTCACTGCAAGAACTGTAGCTGGTATCAATTTCGCTAACGTCAGCAAAAGGTAGTTGTTTTATCTCGTCCAAGCAGGGAGGACATATCCAACTACCGTTTCCAGAAGCCTGTAATCGCTTGTACTCTTTAGGTGAGATTCCACCGCACTTGATATGAATTCGTCGAGAGCAAGAGCTGCAACTCACTGCCCTGTGATTTTTAGCCACCACTTTTCTACAAACGGTGCAACTTTCCGGTCCTGGATTAGGGCTAATGTCTCCACTTAGACGAAGCAGTTCAAAGTTGAAGCTTGCGACGCTGTTGCTGTAGTAGTAAAATCTTGACTTAGTGTACTTCGTATGACACCTATTTACAAAATGGCGGCGATTTGCAGCAATGGATGACATCAGAAACATACACACTGGTCTCATTTGCTCGGTTTCTGAATCCGATAATACATTAATATCATTATATTCTCTTCCAAGAATGCCAGGACCAAGTAGAAAACAGCGAAACAATTGTAAGAGTAGAAATAAGACCGTTGCAACGGAGCCGTGATATGCACGTGTTTGCGCCATACCGCCCGGTCAACACTTGTATACCGGTCAATATCTTGTAACCGTACTGATATATCTATCACTGAAGCAGTTTTATATGTAGACAGGTTTGTCTTTTGAGAAAGCCGTATTTTTAATAGCGCGATGATAGATGTAACACCTTGCTGCCGAGTGGAGAAAGGCTCTTTGTTTTAATGGATTTAAGAAGAGCTTTTGTTAACCACGGTTTTTTAAAGCACCTCTGCTTTCTAGTCACCTTCTTGAGAGGGAAGCAATCGTTATAAATCTTTGTATACATTTCATGAAAGCGTTTGTACGCAATATCTGACTCATCACAAGTTTTAATCGAAGACCTGAATCAACAACTTCCAGTTTTTCAACAAAAGTAGGAATATTATTCGGATTCTTATCTCTAATAAAGAATTTATAAGGGGTCTTGTCGACATCGATTTACGGACTTGTTTAATAACGTTATCAAAGGGTAAGGGATTGGACCTCGGGGCGGAGCCTCCCTGTATAGAACTTTGTTGAGTACCCCCTCCCCCGGGGGAATGCATGGTGTTGTTGTTGCATTGCTTCCAAGTAATATCTCATATTTTGATGTCATCTTTACCATCTTTTTATTATTTTCAGGATTTTATGTCATTTGAATTAAACACGTACAATTAGTTGAATGGTGTGAAGCTATCAAAGAAGAAGGTGATTTAGCTGAGTTTATTAAATTGATTGCAGTAAAATGGCAAAGGGAGTTAACATTGTAAGCTTTAAAGCTATTTTCTTGCATCACTAGAGTATTATACCTCACATTTGATTTAAATGCATTCATTGATATACTATTTATTACACAGTCAGTAGAATGGTACAGGCCAGAAACTATTAACATATTGCAAACATTTCTATTGCCTTGATCACTATTTGTTTGAACCTCATGGTACAGTCAGACCTTTGCTAGTAATAATTATTGGCCTCTCCTCTAAACATAGAGACTTAGTCATGGCCCCAGTCACTAATATTAAAGAGTGTATTTTTGGTCGGGAATCAGCTCTCATAAGTTGCTTGGTCACTGCAGACACTTACAAACACTGCATATTGACCTTTGTGAAATGGACCCCTTTCCATAGTAAGAACTATTTGTGGACTCAGGAAGTTACAAACACTGTTTGCATATTTTGACCTTTGTGAAGTGGATGAACACCTCTTCTAAAAGTGGACACTGACTGGTTATGGGCTAGAAACTCTGCATTTGACCTTTGTCACTAAAAGAGGCAAACATCTCGATCTTTAATTACCTGTAGGTGGACACGATTCTCCTGGTCACTGTACAGACTGGTGTCCACTAATATAATAAGAGGTTTGACCCTTAAAATAAAGCTGTGACATAAAGGTAATTTGTTAATAAAAAAAGTTGTTGGACTGTAATGTGGTGATCTTATTAAATTAAATTTACACTCTTTAGGGACATCTTTGACTTAGACTCAATGGCGCAGCATCAACACCTTAAAAGAAAAGGAGGTTCTGATCCTGATCATCAGATGTCAAGAAATCATGCCCCAGGCCTCCTCCGTCTCTAAGTATTGAAGTGCCTGAAATGAGAGATCTTCCAGACAAGTTAAACCCTTGGAGTGACGTCCAGCTTCCTGTTGACATTCTTTTGTTGACAGTAGAAGACTGCGAGTTTTTAGCCTGTTATGCTTTCTTGAAAAATTCTTTTAAAAGTTATGACCAGAATCTGGGATTCGTGTACTTTGGGACCATGGGTGAAACTGGAGAAGAGGCACTGAAAGTTGCTTTAATGAAATGTTATAAAGGTTCTTCTGGTCCAGGTGGCTCTCAAAATGTTATTAAAAATGCCGTGATGCAACTGAGACCCAAGGCTGCTTTTTTGGTTGGCAGCTGCCAGGGTATAAACCCAGAACACACCAAACGAGGAGATGTAGTGGTATCCTCTAAACTTTCAACTGAACAATTCGCAACTCCAGTAAGAAGAAATATTGGCAACCTTATCTTGTTTTCAGCTGGAGGCTGGAATCCACCATTAAAAGATCCAGTGGGTGAAAAAACAGTACAGGTACACCGTGACAGTGACATATTCAGTGGTAGTCCATTTATCACCAAACAACGCCATATGTCTCAATCTCGCGTGATTGCAGTTGAAACAGAAGGGGAAGGTAAGATTATATACATATTTTACTATTACAACAATTTGATGTAGCATTTAATTTGAGGTCTAGAGCAGAACTCTAAATAAATTGTCCTTTTCGACAACTGAGCTTATATGACCATGGAAAATCACAGTACTTTATTGGTTTGTTGACTACGGTTGGCAATTTTGTCAGATCAATTATAGGGTGCAAACAAGTCTCTTATGGTATTAATAATTCATACATCAACCAATATGTGTTTACATTAAAATATTTTGGAGAAGTACTAGTTCACAAGTTAAATATTTTGCAAGGGAACATAAATTAAGCTTATTAAAACAATAAAATTTAGTCATTACACTGTAGAGAAAAATTTACAGTTTTGCTAGATTCTTTCATGTTGACAAAAAGGATTGGATCGACAAAGCTTTTAATTAAGAGCCAATTAGGCTGCAAAGAATCATCTTTTATTGGTCTGTTTTTCTACTACTTACAGGACTGTTTGCTGCAGCTCATGATATGAACATTGAATGGGTGATTGTTAAAGGGATATCACATTTTTCTGATGATAGCAACACTTCTGATGACTCCTGGAAGTCATTTGCTTCCATCATGGCAGCTTCTGTTATGTCCAACATGTTAAATAATCCAGTTATTTTTAAAGAATGGCCTCACTATGAAGGTAAATTGTGACATCCCTGTTCTAATGAGTGATAATGAATAAATTATTAATAGTGATGAATTTTCTGTTCAGATAATTATTTTTATGTCAGCTGGTTCAATATTATCCTTGAAAATGACGGCCTGCAAATATCAGTAGATGGAGTGTGTGACTTTCCACCAAAAGCATACTGCATAAGTTTTGTTGAGTTCATTAAATAACGAGAATAAACACCTCCTATCTATTAAATGCCCCTAATGGTTCAAGTTTTTCTCTGTTTGAAACTCAAATACATACATTAATATTAAAATACCAAATAACAAAGGCCAAAAGTAAAATTTGTTTTGAGGTGTTTTCAAATTTATAACACTTTTTTTCTTCACAGACTTGACAGCAAAGAATCAGCCAGGCAAACAGATGCCAGGTACTATTCCATCAATGTAATAACACTATAAATCCAGGAGTTTTTCCAGATTAAATGATTGAACACTGGTTTCACTAATATAAACATTAATATCTTTTAATGTTCTTTGTCACATCTGAGCCCTCTTGCACTTTTTTTATTTACAAATAATATGGCAATAAGACAGGTCTTTGCCAAGAGAGCAGTCTCTTTTTGTCTGATATTTAATCCCTTCCCCCCCCCACCCCTCAAAAAAAAATTTGCTGACAAATGCCGTTTGAAAAAGGCCGCTTTAGGGTCAGTATCTGGCCAAAAAGAACCAAAACTGCCCAAAATACTGTATTTCCTCGAATAACAGCCGGGGCAATTATTTCTTTTTTTGCCTCAAAAGGGGGTTATTATTCGAGGGAGGCGATTATTTCAAATATTGCTCACTGGAAGTCGTCCCCTAAATATTTTGTTTTATTATCCCATTAAAACAAAAAATTATCACATCCAAATAAACTGAATATGACCGGCTTTTTAAGTGTTCCAAATTTGGTTCATTGATTGTAATTTTCAGAGCTTGAATCATCACTGATCAGTTTTGCTGGATCACTGATTCCACTTCAACTTGACAGGAAGGGGATAAAAGAAAGTGAAGATGGGAAGAGGGGTGGGGAGGGGGGTGATTATTCCAGGGAGGTGTTTTTTTTAAATATTTCCATCAAAGGGGGGCGATTATTCGAGGGACAGCTATTATTCAAGGATATATGGTACTTTAAATTGAACACCATGCTGCCTTTGGTTCCTTATGCTAATAAATGTCAGTTTTGTTTTGAAAAGTGACACAAACCACTCAACTTTTCCCTTTTCGCTTCCTTGCCCCATGTTTTCCCTTAATGTTGGACATAAACTAAGGCTTCATTTTGGTGAGACAGACATTGTTTTAAGTGAAACAAGATTCCCTTATCTTCTCGAAAACCTTCTCGACTTTGTTTCAGTTGTCTTTGAGTTATGTGTAAAGGCCTCTATTAATTTAGGAATTGCCCAGTTTAATTGAAAGTGATGTGAGGAAGGGGGTCCACTCCCAAACTTTCCGCTGGTATAGTATATTCTATTGTCATCCACCAAACCCCACTAAAAAGATTATAAAAGGAACGATCACTAAGACTTGCTTGCTGATTGAAATCCACTGGACAATATCAAATGATCACTGGGTCATTCCTGGTGCTGTTTCCTTTCATTAATTTGTACTATTTTATTCATGATATTTCTGCAAATTAACTGTCCACCCCTCTTGTAAAAAAATATATAGTTATTAAAAAATTCTTCTTGGAAATGATAAAAAATTCTTGATAATAGATTCTGTATGCCTTGAGGANGAGACAGACATTGTTTTAAGTGAAACAAGATTCCCTTATCTTCTCGAAAACCTTCTCGACTTTGTTTCAGTTGTCTTTGAGTTATGTGTAAAGGCCTCTATTAATTTAGGAATTGCCCAGTTTAATTGAAAGTGATGTGAGGAAGGGGGTCCACTCCCAAACTTTCCGCTGGTATAGTATATTCTATTGTCATCCACCAAACCCCACTAAAAAGATTATAAAAGGAACGATCACTAAGACTTGCTTGCTGATTGAAATCCACTGGACAATATCAAATGATCACTGGGTCATTCCTGGTGCTGTTTCCTTTCATTAATTTGTACTATTTTATTCATGATATTTCTGCAAATTAACTGTCCACCCCTCTTGTAAAAAAATATATAGTTATTAAAAAATTCTTCTTGGAAATGATAAAAAATTCTTGATAATAGATTCTGTATGCCTTGAGGAGTGCCAGAAACAGCTGCAATCACTTTATGAAACCAGTAGTAAAGTCAGAATCATTCCATGGGACCAGAACTCTGCTGTTGATATTGACAAGGTCTACACAGACTTGTCTTGGGTCATGGATGACAGGACACCCAGGGGAGTGATACAAGAAGAGCTTGACCACTACACTGAGATTTTTGCTCACAGAGAACCTCGTCGTGCACCCAAGCGAATTTTGGTTTATGGACAACCAGGTAAGTGAGCTAATGAAGTAAAAAATTTAATTGTCTTAATTTAACTCACAGAGGATAAAAGTACATGCAAAAGTCACATACAATAACAGTAACACAGAAACCATTGGTCCACTTGCATTAAGTTAATCGACACAAGGTGTTAGCAAATGCATTGTATCAGCTAGTGATGTGCGGGTTTCTTGAGTGTTTTGCTGACATATTGTACATTCCAAGTGGGGTAGATTGTTACCATGCATGCTGTCAAACCAAATGAAATGTTTGGTCTGTTGCTGTTATAAATAAAATAAAAGTTAAAAAACAAAGTTTTTCTGTTAATCAGTCTGATAATAAACAATATATTTATTGGCTTTACAGCAATCATGACATACACTCTAGGCTCCAATAGTGTCGTAATAATGGTTAAAATATTGTGACTCAATTTTATCTAAAATTCAAGTTTATTATATAGATACTGATGAAAAACCAGGATTTTTCCTTTTACTGAAAAAATCATATCTTCATCACCTGCAGTGAAGATATTATTTTTATCTTTCATGTGTGAGGATATTGGTGTCGCCATGGTTACTAACATTAATTTTGACTTTTTGGAACATAAAGTATAAGTATTATTGTCTTTATTTCTCCTTTATAACTTTATATCCGAGTTTCATAACATTTTTGTGACAGGCATTTTGCAATAGGTGAGCTCTTTAATTGCACTATATTTTGCTGTTTCGAAAATGAATAAAAAAAAGGTTTTGTTTTATGTAGGAATTTCATCAGTGTAATAATCTATAACATAAACAGAACATTACATGGCCACTGAGGATACGATATTTCGCTCACTCGTGGGAGATACTTTCAGCACTCGAAGACAAAATTCGTATCCCCGCATGGCCATGTAATATCCTCTATTTATTTAATGCCGAGGGCTAAAAGAATAAAACTAAAACGAAATCTTCCAAGGATAAAATCGCACCAAATTAAAGCTTCGCCACAATCGACTGATGACTGGCAGTTTGGCCCAGTTGGTTGAAGGCTGATCAGCGGTTGCAACCTGGGCTTAAATTTTATCTGAAGGATCTGGATCTGCACGGGGGGGTGACAACTCTAACAAAGGCTGTTTGGGCAGTCCTATGAATAACTTTATGTCCTCCCAGAAATTTCGTCGACCCTCCCGAATTTTTCGGTGGCATTCCCCATAAATGTTTAACTTCCCAAAATTGTTTTAACAATTAAAATTAAAATTTTGATTAGAGATTTTTGCAGCTTCTTGTTAATCATGTAACTTGTTAATTATCTAACCGTGGTTATTTTTTCGTTTAGAGGGTATCATGTTAACACAGAAAGACTGTCAAACTTTTTAAGTATATAAAATCGTGGTTTTTTTGTTTTTAAATCACCGATGAATCAGGCGAGCAGTGAAGGGGCCAACCACTAGGGGGGTCTGGGGGCATGGTCCCCCAGAAAATTTTGAAATCTTGGTGCTCTGAAACGCTATTTCTAGTGTTCTGAGAGGACAAATTCTGTTCAAAATGTTCTCTAAATCAATTGTCCTTTTTATGCTTATTTTTATTGGCGTGGCTTCACGTAGAAGTAGTCAATTTTATTTTATACAAGTTGTACGGTTTTTGAAATTGCTCTGGATATCACTTTCAGCTAAGTATACTCTGTGTGGTGTCATTGTCATTGAAAATTTCAGAACAACTGTCGAAATCTGAAATTTTCCTATCCCAAACGCATATTGATCGGGATTCAGGACAGTTTTCGAGCAAAATTGGAAGGACCCCGACGAGATCAGGATGATTAAAGAGTCTTCACAGAAATACTACTTTTTATGGCCTCATTTGTGTTTAACAAGGTTAAATGAGTTTCGTTTTTTTCTTACATACTTCTTACGTACTTCTTTCAAGTTTTCCAGTATGCAATCAGTGGAATGCGCTCTTAAAACTCGTTAACGTGCAGCGTAAAAATACCCCTGAACTATCTGGTGTGAACTGATAGTATGTGCCTTGCACCGGTACAGTTCTTGTGTCAATCCGCTGGGGATTGCACGTGGTCAATCGCACTTGAACTTCATGCTATGTTAATTGGAAATATTGCTGATTGGTCATTTCATATCATGGGAAGTTCAGCCGTTTTCAAGTGTCAAAATACATAGAATACAGCGCATACGCTGGGTGCATATCACTGTATATATATTGTTTGATAGCATGTAATATCAAATCTTTGCTCAATGTCCCGAAAATATCTCATATTTCCCGAAAAATTTCCCAGGTTTCCCGATTCCCGGCAAAATCTCCAGATTCCCGGAATAAATTTGTTTTTCTCCCGAAACAGCCCTTGTTAGAGCTGTCACCCCCCGTGATCTGCCACTGTTAACCTGGGTTTCTTTTTGTTTTTAATCATCAAAAGCATTTTCTTGGAGTTTTCTCTACTCTTTTTAGATTATCTAATCATCAATTTTTAGACAAAAAGAATTAAACTGAAATTTGGGTTTTACCCTTTTATATCTGAATTCAAATTTTGCACTAACCCTGGGTTACCTTAACCCAGCCTTGAACAACTGGGCCCTAAATAGTCTGGGTATTTCACAGTTTTGCGAAGGATTTATTTCCATTGTCTTTATCATGAATAATTTTGAATATTAAATGAGATACCATTTTTGATGAATGTAACCCTAGTCTCTAAGCAAAGGTAAGAATTCCAAAATGCCCCCTTAAAGGCAGGGAAACATCAATTACCCATATCTTGCTCACTTTGCATATGATATAAAAAGTTTAAACATAATTCCGTTAAAAAATTAATAGAATAAATAATTTCTCTTTAAGTTTTATGAAAATAATCAATGCACATTTCAATATTTTAGATTCCTCTTCACGTGACTTCACATGATAAAAGTAAAACAAATCTTTTGACGACTTACTGACAGTTTGTTCATATTGTCACCTAGGTATCGGCAAGACTGTTTTCACGAAGAAAGCAACTTTTGACTGGTCCCAGCAGAGATATTCAGATACTTTAGGAGCATTTGATCTTGTTCTTCTGGTGAGATTACGTGACGTTAGTAATCTCCAAGATGTTCCGTCCATTCTGAGGGCTTGTGAAGTGCTGGATAGTAATGGTGCAATTTCCGTACACAACCTGTATGATTACGTTTGTCGCCATCAAGAAAAAGTCTTGCTTATCTTGGACGGCTACGATGAGTATGTTTACAATTCAAAAAACGAGTCGCCTGTGTTCAAAATCTGGAAAAAAAGCCAATTAAGAGATTGTTGTGTTGTAATTACTTCAAGGGAAATGAAAGCTGAGACGTTGACAAATTTTAGCGATGCTCAATTCAAAATTGACGGCTTTAATTATCAGCGCCAAGAAGAGTTTGCTCGTAGATTTTTGAAAGATGATAAAGATATTGAAGAGTTTTTTATGTACTTATGGCAGCACAACCTAAGTGAACTAGCACAAATTCCCCTACTGCTCTTAATGTTATGCTTGCTCTGGACGAAAACAACACGCGAAGAACTACCAAAGGAACGCGCACACATCTTCTCCCAGTTCATGACGACCATGTTTGATCACATGTGTGAAAAAAAGTCTGCTGAATCGGTTTCTGCCAAAGATTACTCAGATGAATTATACGCATTAGGACGCTTGGCCTTTGAAGCCCTTTTGCAAGGCCAGCTTTATTTCCCTGTTAGTCAGTTACCTGCCGGCTACAGTTTGATCGAGAGGCTGATTGAAGTCGGTCTTTTTCAGGTTTTAAATATGGCGAGTTTGAATCGTGAAAAAGGCGTGTACTTTATTCACAAATCCGTCCAAGAATACCTGGCCGGGAATTTCCTAAAAGAAGAGCTGACATCTAGAAAGGCTGAAAGTACAAATTCCCTTTTAAAGTTGGAATCAGTTGAAAAGATCCGAGAGATGTTTGAAGTTTTACAATTTGCTGCTCAGTTGTCAGAAGAAGCCGCGCGCGAGATTGTGATTCACCTTGGAATGAAGAGCGGACTGAAAGAGTTCAAATTTGATAACGAAACACCGTCACAGTGGGACTTGTCAGAAGAACAAAGAGATTTTATTAATCTTTGTAATGTTTTTTTTTTCAACTTCTCAGCAGAGATAAGAAAAAACCTCTTTCCTACATTTCTTTCCTCTTTAGGAGGAGTTCTTGTAATTGATAAAGAGCAGCTAAATATTATCGTACAGGAAAAATTAGTTCAAACTACCGAAACACCCAACTACGTTTTTTTTAATTATAAAACGTATACAGAGCAGGACTATAGTAATTTAATCATTTTAACACAACAATTAAACGCAGTTATTGTTAGCTCTGCAGGAGAAAAGAAAGCATCAGAAATTTTAAGCAACTTAACATGGCGTAGGATTGATGAATTTTTTTTAAAGAAAGAAGAAAACAAAGCTCACCTTTATTTAGATAAAATTGATAAAAATGAACGTAGAAAGATTCCTTTTCCTTGTGATATAATAAAGGCGCTAATAAGTAAACAAGAGACAACAAAGAAGACAAACATGAATGGTGATGAGTCAAGTGAAGAGAGCAGCAGCAGCTGTTGTTCAAAGCGTCATGGTCTCTCCAGGGTTTGGAGGATTCAAGCTTATGATGTGAACAGGTCAGAAGTGGAACAGATGAGTGAGATCATGCCGTTTGTTACCGCTCCACAATGGATATATGTTTGGGGTGAAGACGGTGAAATGTTTGATGCTGAGGTAACAGAGTCTCTGCTGAGGAGGATCCCAACAACACACAAACTGAAGGAATTAACACTCTGTGATATCAATGTAACATCATCACCTGCTGTGGAGTTTATCAACAATTTATTTGTAAAAGCACCAAACTTGGAGTGGCTCAGCATGTCATGGAATCCTCTTCTGGGTGCAGGAGTAGACAGCTTGATTAAACATCTCAGCTGCGCTCCTCACCTGAAGGAACTGGGGCTTTTAGGAGTGAAGATGACTCCACAGCAGGTGATGGATCTGACATCAGCCATCAAGCAGCACGGAAACATCACTAGACTGCTGTCATCCTACCACGTAAGTTTTCCAATTTTATCGCAATTTGTTTCTTTATTCTTTGTTTACAGTTTATTTCTACTCAGCTCTTGCCTTTCACCATTTTCCTTTCTTTGTCATTTTTATACTCGACAAAACACGAGATTTACTTTTGAAAACAAATAACAAACTTTAGCAGATTCAAAGTATCATTTCAAATTCATTACTTTCAATTGATTAAACTAAATCCAAAAAAAACGTTTCAACCGAGAACAAGTAAATTAATCTAAAGGTGTTTTCACTTTGCAAACTAATGGATCAGCGAGCAGATATGAAATTTCTCTTCGAGTCTGGTTCAACTCGATATGAGCTCACTTAACAAACTTGTGATATATGTATTAACACAAAAATTCCATAGTATTAATTTCTCAATCAATTTTAATTCATTACTTTTCATAAAATGATGAATAACAAGCATAAAATCAAAATATGTTCAGTTCATGTTCAATTCAAACAAACAAAATTTGCAAAAATCAAGAGAAAAAAGGTTAACCACTTACAGTTTCACTTTTATCGCTAACGTTTTCGTAAAGTTTCTTTGAGAGTCCAAAAAACGAAGAAGTCTTTTTAGAGCTGTCCTTTTGTTTGAATGTCCCTTGCGTTTCGGTAAATGCTTGTCCTCCCGTAAATAACCTCACTGTTGCGTAGTTTTTGGAGATAGCGTTCCACAAAAAATATAATTCCTCTGAGACACTTTGGTTGAAATTTAACACCATACATTTAATCATAGGTAAAGCACTCCTCTATGGTACAAGCTGCCTATTTTTGTCGATTACTTGTTTTCCAGTTTTACGACGAACACAACAAATCCTGCGTCACTTCGTGCCTTGTATGAATGAGTTGAAGTTCATAAATGTGGTTCCCTTTAGCTTGCACAAATCCTTTGACAAATTCCTGAGTACACAAGACGAATTTTTCTCTTAACTGGCATTTTACGGTGTTTTCTCATTCTTTTTGTGTCCATCTTGAGTATTTTTGCGTTGAAAGTTTTCTTTGATGAGCAAACTCAACTGAAGTGAAAAACAAACTACAAAATCAACAAACTGTCATTCAAAGTGGCGTGAGAGAAGGCTTGTGACGTGGCGACAGCTGATTGGTTATATAACTATCCACGTGGTAGAATTTTCCCGCCTTTAGTTTGGCAGCGCAGCAAGCGTTTCTTCAGACGAGACGCAGGTTTTCTGCGCCTCCCCTCCCAACCCCCACTAAGGAAAAACCGATCTGTGAGAATTTTATCAGACCAAGAGTTAATAGAAGAAAGGGCTCCAAGGTTTCAATAATTCGCACATTTTTAGAGTATATTATTTGCTTTTGTTGTTTTGAAAGTCTTGCATGCAAATTTTAGGGATTGAAAAGTAGAATGTGGTCTTTAAGCTGCGAGCACCTTTAGAGGTGCGTCCAAGAAGTCAGATGTATTTTTGTTGGTTTTGTCGTTTCCCCCTCTTTTTCGTATTTTTAACTCCTTTTTTCGACAGAACTTTAGTTCTTGAGGCCGTTGCTTTTTCTGTATGTAGGTAATTTCTAATCACTATTAAACGGCACAAAAATTCGGAAATTTGGGGTTGACAAGGAAAAATCAGGAACTTCTCACGCAGCAACCTAAAGACTGGTTTACACTAGCGACGGAGTCGGAGTTGGAGTCGTAAGATTGCTTATGACCTAGTGAAAATCAAAAATCGGAGTCGTAAGCGCAGTAACCTGAGATCAGGCTCTGTTTTCCTTTCGCTTTGAAAATTACATTCGGGCGGGCAAGGCGATTTTTTTAGCGGTAGCCGTTAGAGAGAATGCATGAGAACCGCTAAAATTGGGCCTGATCTCAGGTTATAAGAGGCGTCATAAGCGCGCCGGAATCGGAGTCAGAAGAATTAGAACGTTTCCATTTCTTCCGACTCCGCTTACGTTCCGCTTATGATCTAGTGAAAACCAGATTGTCAGAATCGAAAGCAGAAGCAGAAGGATAAACTAATCCCGATGCACGTTCTCACGCTTTGTGATTTGTTTGGTTCTTCCGCTTCTGCTTCCGACTCTGACAATCTGGTTTTCACTAGATCATAAGCGGAACTTAAGCGGAATCGAACGCTATTTTCACTAGATCATAAGCTCTACGCTTTTGTTTACGACTCCGACTCCGACTCTGCCGCTAGTGAAAAGCAGCCTTAATTTTTTGACACTCACAAGAAAGTGTTTTAGCGCAGCGGTACTCGCAAGACCATTCAGGACGAAATTACTGTTTAGGGCATGCGGATTTTTAAACTTTGAACTTATAAAGGTCTCGGAACAGATTGCAAAATGACTAAAATCTCTTGTTTAGTCCTAAATATAACTAAATTAAAGAAGAAAAACGTCTTTATCGCAGGCAGAAATTTCTATAGTACTACTTTGACTATGTGTTTTAGAAGTGGCCTCTTTTCGGGGTGGAAAATCAGCTTGAGCTTTACTCAGATTGGTCCTAAAGTTCCAAGAGCGATCAACATGAATTTTCTCTTAACAATATCAAAACATTATCAAAAGAAAAGGTTAGGAGAAGTTTTAAAATAATGAACAAAGGAGAAGTACTTTGATCTTTTATCAAGTTCTTTCAACTAATTCTATAAGGCAATGTATGGACACCATAGTGGAGAATTTGTATTTGGATATTGGGGCCTAAAGGGTTAAGGGTAAAATTTTAGTTGTCCGATGAGCATATATGACACGCCCCCTTCACATAGTAGTCAACCCCTGGGGTTATTTTTACCCTTTAATTGCGTATCACTTAAAGAAAGGTTTTAAAATCTAGACTACAGTTTCGATCTTTTAAACGTTGGTTTAAAGGTTGAATGGTGCTAGTGTCATTTTTTGATTTGTTGTAGGATTTTAAAGGGAATCCCAAGCCTGAACGTGAATGGCCATCAGAAGGCTATTGGAATATGTATTACCCCAGTCTCTTTTCTCACGCATCAAATGAATCACAGCCGCAAAGGCAACAGGTTGGTCATCAACTTTGGCAAAAGAAAATAGAGTATAATATTTCCTGAGTTTGGTTATTTCTTGGGAAAAAAAACTGAAAAAAAAACATTGCGTTTAAAAAAAAGTATGGTTTTTTCTTCAGCTTTTCAGGAGTTCACTTATTATAAACTGAAACTGAGGGAACAGGAAATGTGTTTTGTATCATAGTAGTTTCAGGCTGTTTTTTTTTTCTAATCGCGATTTCTTAAAACTGAGACAAATCAAAATCGTGCAGTTGAATATAAGTCTTACTAAGAGTAAGAAGTTATTTCTGTGGTCTTGGGCTCTTAGCTCACTTCTTTTAAGAAGTGAGTTAAGTCATACCGAAACCGACGGTTCTCTTATAAAGATGGCTTTTAGTTGTGGAAGTTACTGTCCGAACAATATTGCAACGGACTGCAATCCGTTTCGGAAACTTGGGCTCTGGTTTTGGAAACGACCTGAAGTTTGCTTCGTACGTTTTTTACCGTTCGGAAAGTCGATTTAATCGTGCACTTTGAAGAAACTTGCTGATTTTCGTACGTGAAGTTTTATACAAACCGAAAGAAAATGTGGATCTTTGAGATTTTTATTGACTGGCAAATTTCACCGCTGTAGTGGAGCATTTTTACGCATTTTAAGCAAACATGGAGCTTGAGGCTTGGATCAAACCAGTCAACAGTAGACTGAGGTTCTTTCTTTGTATAGTGTTATTTTCATTACTAACAGAAGCTGAGTTTCTTTTTGCTCAATCATCTTAATTATTGGCTAATTAACTCTTAGCCGTTCAGATAGTGGAAAGTGTCACTCTCCACTATTAGATCTGAATGCCTGGAACAGGCTCATCAACTATTGTTTTCTTTTACCACTCACACAGTTTCCGGCAGCGACTTGCCTCGGTATTCACGACTCACCATTCTTCGCTCGCGAACAAGACACCGTGGGAACATTTCCAGCGCCTCCTGATCCTACTGGTGAGGTTTTTTGTCCCTTAGCCCTCCCCCTTCCCCCATAGTTTCTTGCCTTGCTAATCACAGATGTAACAAAACCTAGGAGGAGAAATCTGCTTGGAGACCATGAGTGTGACACCTGTCGCGTTTACACTGTACCTTTATGTAAACCTGTGGGATTTAATTTTAATTTTTTTTTCTCTAGGAGCTCCCATTCCTACGTCGCATTTCTCCAGCCGCAGCCTGGCACCCTTCAGTGAACATCCTCACCGTTACAGAGTGTTGGAATCACCATTGCTGTCATGGCAACCGCGAAGTACATTTCCAGGATACCCATATCCCCGCAGTTCTGGCATTTCTACAGTTGCTCTCCCTTCTGTTCACTCTGGGTATCTTCCCGTGCGTGGAATGCAGGATCCGCCACAACAGAGAGTTCAGCCCCAAAATACAATGCCGTGTGATTTAAATCTCGAAGGTTCCGCAGTCACTTACCCGCAAGAAATCCCGACATTTGTTCCCCCACATGGAATGCAAGGAGCGCGTCTTCATGGATTGCAACCACAAATTACGATGTCAGATGATTCATATCTCATTGGTCCTGGCGTATCAACCCATACCCATTCGACAGTTAATTTGGAAAGTCTCCTCCCTCATGAAACGCTGAGATCCCCGCAGTATGGATTTCATTCGCAAAGTGCAAGTCCAAGTTATCCGCATCTTCAATTTAGTGGTCCTGTTACGTCTTCCGTGATACACACGCCAGTAATCCCCGGAAACCGCATGAGAGCCCCACTGCTGACATCGCAGCCACAAAGTACAAGTTCAGGTGATCCTTATCTTAGTGGTCGTGTCACGCCTTCAGTCACGCACCCGCAAGTAATCCCCGGATATTCCTACCCGTATGGAAACCGCATGAGAACCCAACTGCTGGCACCGCAACCGCAAAGTGCAAGTTCAGGTGGTCTACATCTCAGTGGTCCTGTTACGTCTTCAGTCACGCACCCGGCAGTAAACCCCGGATATTCTTACCCGTACGGAAACGACATGAGAGCCCCACTGCAGGCACCGCAGTCGCAAAGTGCAAGTCCAGGTGATTCGTTTATTAGTGGTCCCATTACGGCTTCAGTCACGCACCTGCCAGTAATTCCCGGTTTTCTTTCTCCGCACGGAATACTAAGTTCGCCACTGCCTGGTATGCAGGGAGGAAGTTCAGAAGTTCAACACGAACAAAATCCTGCGACTGAATCTGCTACTAGGCCCAGTCAATAAGTGGGAATGAATTTCTTATGGTGTAAAATTGTATAAATTTTCTAATTTAAGCCTAATTTGTGCTGCAGTTGTCTTTGTAATATGTATTTATCACTTTCTGCCAAAAACATCTGTAATTCTTCAGTACAATTTGGCAGCGAACACAACACATTCTTTTGGATGAATCTAACGCAAGTTTCATAAGCAAGAATACTACAGTGTACAGAAATTCCCAAAAATGTAAAATATGTATAAATTCTAATTTTTTCTCGGTCGTATTTCAGTAGATTTCTTGTGTATGTATTATTCTAAATAGTATTTAATAAAAGTTTTCGTCTGGGAAAAACTGTAGTTCTGCTGTGCGATTTCTACTGTCTTTAAGTGTGGTGTAATATCAAGCTTTTGACAGTGTTTTATCACCAGATGAAACACCTCGAAGTTCGTCAAAAATACTCCGCTGGTTCATCTGGAGATCAAACACTGCGTCTCATACTTGATAAATTACATAGCATTAAGAACACGCACCTCACAATTGTTTCGGTGGAATATCTCTCCTTTCAAACTCATAAAACCCCTTTTCCTTTTTTGATCTCGAGAAAGGATTTGCTTAAACCTTACTGTTATTGTTACCCTGTTTCCCTTTGTCATAACATTCCCTGAGGTGGGTAGTATCAATAAGGTATAGCCAGCTCTGAAGTCAGAACTCCTCGTAAAAAGTGATTACTAAATGTGACTAATCTTCTTACGCGTCATCTCAGTTCTCTGCGAAGCGTTCCCTGACATTACTGAAATACTTTTTCAAGCTTTGTAATAGTAAGAAATCTCCAAAAGTAGTACTACTTTCCTTCCATCCCAGTCTCCCACGCAACGCTCTTCTGGAACACGCAGTACCCACCCACTCCACCCTTAACTTATACTATGCATCTGACTATGTTAGCAGAGGTGACCAAAGGTCACGAATAGTCTACAAATTTAAATTGTGATGATTTTCCATAGTTAGACATAATTTTACTAGGCTACACAGCATTTTTAACGGAAAGAAGCTAACTATTTTGAGCATAATGAGCTGGTTGATACGTTAACTAAGTATTTTATACACACTTGCCCTTGTTTCTAATTATCGGTTAATGAAATATCAGTAATAAAACAAACAAAAAAAACATCTCGAACGTTTGACATTAGAGGTCCAGCCAAGCCTGTGGTCGCAAGAAAGTCTTTCTCCTTAGCCTGGGGACACAGACGCCATTTCGCGACGCCACTAACGGTTTCCACGCGAAATGAGGTCTGAGAAACGAGCGCAGGAATTCCATACTGATGACGCGTCACTGCCAAGATCTAGGGTGGTGACGCGTCATGAGTAGTGGAATTTCTGCGCTCGTTTCTCAGACGTCATTTCGCGGGGAAACCGTTAGTGGCGTCGCGAAATGGCGTCTGTTTTCTCAGGTTACTTTCTCCTCTCTTTTTATTGCATTCCCACTGACTGAAAATAATGTGGTTCTGTCTTGGTTTACTAAGGTAATACCATCGTCTTTGTGAAGAAACGATGGACCGATGGGAAACTGGCACGGTAACTGCACTCTAATTGTCAAGTTAAGAATTGCGCCCGCGTTATCCTGTCGGCAACGGCAGGAGCGGCGAAGCATCAGTGACATGCGTACATCATCGAATCATTCCAAGAACGATAGCTCCACCGATGATTCTAATCACAAAATCATCATCGTCATCTGTGGTTTGGCGAATTTGCGGTGTTCTGCTGGGTGCCGCCTTGACTCCGCCTGTGGAAAGCATGAGCGAAATGGGTTCTAACGAGTTCACTAAGTGCGCGCGCGCGCAGCCATGTACGTATGTGTACATTCTCATCCTCAGGGCCCATCGGTTTTTTTGAAGTGGTCTTTGAGGGCCAACCGAGGGGGTGGCTCTAGTGACGAGAATAGGGACTTTAAGATCAAACGACGCGACGGCAATGAGAACGTCGCTTACATGTAAAAGGTGAATTTGCGTTCTTACAGTCTTTATCGCAATTATTCCTACCCACTTACTTTGCCAAACGTAGGCGAACCCTCCTAGGGTTGATTTCCTAGGGACCATATCCAAGTACAGAAAGAGAAATAAAATTTCGTCGTTGCTTGTTTACGTCATCCACAAAAAGCGAAATTAGGCATTTTCACGTCGTAGTCGTGCAAAAACGGGCAAAGAAATGTACAAAAAAGCGCGGTGCACGTGCAAAGTTTTTGTTCTGCTTATAAAACCTATTGTTTTTCTGATGTTCTCGTTGTCGTCCCTAATAGCCGATGAGTATGAGCGCCGGGGCACTTGCAGGACATGATATTTTGCAAAATCGCGCAAAAGTTTACAATAATCATTTAGTTTAGGCAAGTACTTGTTCTGTATGAGATATCCAAATCATTATAAACAATTATATATTGGATGAGGTTTTTGTGATATCCGGAATAATCAAGCCCGAGGTAAGTGTTATCAGCCGAACCAAAGGCACCGTCGCTAGGAACCTGAATTGATAGTGTTATTGGAAATCACGCATTGCGTGCGCAACCTACAAATTAGTCAGTTATCACAGATAACTAACTAATCTGTAGGTTGTGCTAATTTTCAAATTAGCTGTAGGCTCTTAGCCAGTAAGAAGACAGATATTGAGTACAATATATAATAAGTATTGTAATTGTATCACTGTTTAAATGTAAGTACCATTGTTTTAAGGCATTTCAGCGAAAACTAGTAGGTACCTAAATTGCTTTTTTCTTCTTCTTCTTCTTTTATTATTATTATTATTATTATTATTATTATTATTATTATTTAGTGCAGAAAATTCCAAAACTCAGAGCGGAAAAAATAAGAAACGAAACGAATTTTTCGTCCGAATCACCCAGATTCCATCAGCGTCGTGAGGTGACAGTTTGCGTAACAGAAAAGTGACGAATCCGCAAGAGCGGAATGTAAATCAATTATAGGTTCAGTTCCTCATCCCTATTCGGAATTTTTGATAATTAATATAGAATAACAACGAGAGTCTAAAGCTTAAAAAGTCAAACCAAAATAAGATGACCATTTTCAAGTCAATAGGTTTAAAAGTGCACAAAAATACAATAGGGAGAAGAAAAAAAATTGGGTTGTAAATTGTGTTCTTCTTCCAATCGGACAAAACATTTCAGTCTGAACAAAAACAAAATTCGAACATTTTATCGTCCTAGCACTTCAAATCAATCATTGTAAATAAATAAAAATGTTACTGCATGCACCACTTTTATTGGTGCTAATCCCTGGTAGCAGGACCAGAAGCAGAGTAAAACTCGCTCCATTTACCAGCAAAGACAAGAATCCTTTGGCAAACTTATCCATGGTGAAAGAAATTATTCTATTCTTGTTGATAAGGACAACGCAGTTAGTTCCAACACAGAGGGCATCAACTAATTGACTATGAGACATTCAAGTATCCGATCAAATTGCAGTGGGACAGTGTATGCTAAAAATGAATGTTATTCTACAGTCAAACCTCTTTAATACAGAGAGCAAAGGGACAGAACCAATTGTCCGCTTTACAGAGGTGTCCGTAAATTATAGAGGTAGGGAATGTATTTTTTTTTGCATTTCTGGGAGCAAAGAGGACGGGTGGGAGGGGGGGGGACGCCCAATAGATCTCATTATCAGTATCCCGTATTGAGATGTGACCCTGTATTTGGGTGAAATTTTTTGCTCAGTATTCCAGGTTTTCCCCAGTTTTCTCCGTTTTCTCCGTTTCGAAACCCAGAAGAATCTTCATGTCTCCCCATTGCTGTACTACACGTATGTTTGCACAAGGTGAGACACACAAAAGAAAATCAAATCAGTTTGCTCAAAGAGCAAGACGTTAACTCAGTTTACTAGCCTCTGGTGGGGCTCCAAGAAGCTAGCCCAAACTGTATTCAGTCTGTTATTTTTCTTAACAAGCCATGAAACTTTGCTTTACCATTGGGCTACTTGTAAAGAAAACAACACAAAAGCTCAACTAATGTTTTGCCAGCCCTTCATTGTGTTGAAATGAATGCTAGGAACATGTTAACAAATTAAAAGAACTCTAGGTATAAGCTTGCAAAGTGAATTCCGTTAATTTCCTCTTGTTGCAGTAAACTGATTGTTTCTCTTTCACTAGTTATCGTAGAGACTACAATAACATTTTCAGTAGATTAAACCTCAAAGAAGGTACCCAGTATATCAAGAAATTGAAGTGTATTTGCACTTCCAAGTTATTCTTTTTCTTTGTCAAAATCAACTTTGAATCAATGGACTGCCACATCATTAAGAATTAAGGATCAATAACATTCAATTTACGTTTATCTTTTGCCGTGAGGATCGCTGGACTGCAAGATAACTGTCTGTCATATTAAGCCGAATGCCTCACACAACAACAGGGCTGTGTTCCAGCAGTGCTACATGACCCCTGCTGGTGACGTAAGCTTAATTCACAAAAGAAACATGCTATACTCCCTGGATTTTATAGTTTCAGAGCTTTAGGGATCCCTATGATTGAAGATTATAGTTGCTGTCGTTTGCAAGAAATATCAGGCAACAATGTTGTGATATTATTTCAGCAGAATGTTCAATATTGCTACCCCAGGAATTGACTTAACAATGCAAGAACATTGCTGAACATCCAACAACTAACATTTCTAGGGTCTAACAAAACTAGTTTTTTACCAAATATAATTATTGCTACCCAAAATTGTTGGAATGGGTTTTCTTCTGAGCATGTATCTGTATAACTAGATCTGTTGCAATTAACAGACTATAAATATGACATGCTTCAAATTTTAAGTACAGTATTAACAATGGTAATACTGTAAATGTAACATTTCAGACTTTCATACTAGTTACCATTTTCATACTAAGTAATCACAAAAAAGAAATCCAATTTCTAGTAACAAAAATTGTTCATTTTTAATTGTGACTTGTACTAGTTACCAGTAAGTATGATTTATGACAATGTTCCTCACAATTTACCCATTTTAATAGTGCAAAACATGCTAAGATTCCAGCAGTCTGATAGTAATCCCTTTGGAATGACTTTAAAGTTACTCAGAATGTTCTGCCGTTATTTGTACCATTCACAAAAATTGTCATAAAAATGTCAAAGAGAGTACTTTGACAATCAAACATGCCATCTAGAAAGAGCAATGTTTCAGAAGATAATTTGTAAATAGGTTATCATCTGAATGCCAACATCTCTTATCTTACTTGAATTGTAAAAGAATGAGGCATCTCTGATGTTTAACTCTGTTGACAAATCCTAGTGTTTACTCCTGTTTTGCTGAACACAAATCTTGTAGTGTCTTTCTTCTTCTTTTTGCGTCTTCTTGGTTTCTTCTTCTTTTTCTTAAATCCTGTCATAAAAAATAAAACGATGTTTAAAGATCCATAAATATTGCATCATGAGTAAGACCTTATCTCCTTTGGAGACATCATGTTCTTGGCATCATGATTATTACATGAAGCCTTGCCTGTCACCCCAGTGGATAAAGTCAGGTATAAAACTAACAATATTAAATTATTAACGCAATAAAGTGTGGATCCAAATTGGCAAGTAGCCTGTGTAGCAACCATTTCGGCCGTAGTTATTACTCATCCACTTGAGTTATTGTAAAAAAAAAAAATTGCAGATGTGCAATAACTTGTATGGAAATGCTTACTACCCGGGCTAATTATAGAGTCAATAATTATTGTGAACAGAGATGGTACACGTGATTGGTAGTTGGGCCAGTATACTGCCACTCTTCCTTTACTTTTACATGTAAGAATTTGGTAAGGTTTTACTCTCAGACCTGCTGCTTATACCTAATACATGCACAGAGATAGTTATTTAAGACTCCATACAAATCCTCTAAAATTGGCTTTTGAAGCATTTACATGCAGGTGTGAGAACATAGAAATGCTAGTATCTCACCGTCAATTGGTGAAAAACACACTGATTTTTGGTACAGAAGCATTTTTCATCTTGTTCTCGTAGAGGATGACAACAAATCCCACAATTTCACAAATTCTCATTTCTGTTATGTCTCAAATTCGTCACTCAATTCAGTCAGGGCTGAGCTGGATGAACAACCACTCAATTTAATCATCATTATTAATTTTTATAAACATATTTATTGCCTGATTTATCATTCACACCCCTGATAATGTTCAAAATCAAAATTTTAAAACCTCTTTTTATAAAAATTCTACTACAAATATTACCATATGGCAAAACCAGAGAATTTCGTCCTCACAATCACAGTTAGAATTACATAACACATCTCCCCTCAACCAATGAAGTGAAATGGATATCAGATAAAAAAGACTTAAATACCTCCTCTTTTAAACACCTATTCAATGCTCTTTTGATATCATTGCACTCGCCTAGGAATTTCCCAACAGGATGCTGCAAAGAAAGGCGAAAAAAAAAATTTGTATACAGCACAAAAAGATGGCCAAGCAGGCACGTGTTTACAGCACAACACGTTTAACTATTAACCTGTTCGTGACAGCGATGCAGTTGCTGTATAATTTCTAGGCAGTCGCCATGAAGATGAGGCGCCAAAGAGGGATGCATAGCTTGCAAGAATTACCTTTTAACATTTAAATTTTCTCGTAACATAGCCTATAAACAGCTAAATTGTACTTCTTTGCAAGTTGCAACTCTGAACAGAACGTTTAGCAACCACGCCTTCTGAGTATCCTTTGTTTTTTACTGTATATAAGCTACTACGAAAAATAACCTTCATTATTTGAACCCAGCTTCCGGTTCCTTTTCCGGTTTGCACTTACCCAGGCCTTGCATAAGAGATGGACTCCCTGGGATGATGGACTGTGGTATACAGTGTATACCGGTACACAAAAGGTAAAAACATGCCCTTATCAGTGTTTTGTTTTGGTTTAATCTGACTAGGTGTCTCTGCCAGTCAGTGGTACGTATCTAGACTCAATGGAACTGTTGAAGACGGTTGTGGCCTAGTAAAGTCTCACCCTTGTAAACATATCTACCAAGCAACTACGCTTGCGCACGAAGGCAACGTCATCAACATCGACGGGGCGGGAACGTCACGTGATCCATACCCCTGCGATGTCGACACAAGAATGCACATACCGTACATGGTCGGTGTTTCGATTGCCAGCTACACAACTCAAGCTTTTGTTGCTTGTAGAAACAAAAGCTTGCAACTTTCTTGCGATTTCAGAAACAGCTCTTCCGGCGGTATCTTTTTGGAGGGAATCACTTTCGTAAATACCTCCCTGAATCTTGTCGATTGTTCTCTTAAGATGTCAGGGGTCATGTTTGTTAATAGTTCTAATGACGCTTTTTCTCTTAATTTTTCACGTGGTTTCACTGGAACTATTAGTATTTCTGGGTGCACGTTCTACAACATCAGTGGCAGTGGCATCAAGATTCGCGGTGATTCGGTGAACTTGAACATAACAGATACGTTCTTCACTGAAAATAAGCTCCGTATGAACAGCTTAGAGAGCGCGCTCCTGAGTATTTCACCGCAAAGCTTGTCCGCTCAAATTCAAGTTAACTTAAAGAATATCAATGTCTTAAGAAACAACT